CGTTTAAGTATAAAGTGTTTCATACATTTCATCTTCAGCAACGCTTTTGTGGAAGTTTCATTACACTATTATTAATATACTTTTAAGTTTGACTGAGGTAAGTTATATCTTTTTTTTTTACGTGTGATATTGTGACGGTTATTTGAATATGTAGAACTAGAAGAAAATTAACAAGGTAAAACAAGTTTATTGACGGACGTTTCACCTTGTTTCCTTCCTCATTTTGTAATTTCTTCGCCTACGCAATTCATTTATTACCAAAATATGTCGGTTATATTTGAATAAGTCAGGCTAAACTTTGTATTTAATTTTAAGTAAATTAAGATTTTATTTAAATCAATGCTACTAAATTATTTTATAAAGTTCATATGGGAACCATTCGAAATACATAAAATACAAGCTGAGGCACCCGTCCTACTTATGGGGACATAAGGATTGAATGTAGGGCTTGAAATAATAAATACTGGGTGAAAATAAAGATATTTCTTGGTGATCCTGCTTTAAAATATCCAACATAGAAAGTGACCAAATGAAAAGCAAGGGGTTTTGAAATGTAGACTTGCCACTTTAAGGGTTTGACCTTGTGCTTTGGTTGCCATTTTTCCCTGGCAAAAATATGAAAGTTTGACATTTTCAATGAAAAAACTCAAATTTCCATAAAGAACTAAAAAATTTAAGAAATAAAAATTGGTCCAAGAGTGTAAGGCATTAGCTAAAGAAACATATTTTTGCTGTGGGCATGGCCAGATAATTACCACCCTGTGGCATGCCCCTTGGTCTGATGTATTATCCTACCAAGTTTGGTTAAGACTACACCATGAAATAGTTGACAAACAAACAAATATATTACTTTTACAGGTCCAGATGAGGTATTGTAGTAGAGGTCTGAGTTTATTAGTTTGGAATTGATTATTGAGTTAGTGACTATTAGCCAATTTGTTTTAGTTTTACTTATGATATGGGAATATGAAGTTTGTTTTTAAGTGCTAGAGACAAAAGAATGTGCCAGAGATAGGAGAAAAAACTTGCAAGTAATTATTTAGTGCTATTTGTACAGTTAGTTCAATTTTTCTGTGAATATTAACTTATCACACGTAAACCTTTAGTCAAGAACTAAAATGCATTTGTTAATTAAGGGGACAAACTTTGTATTCTTGTTTTTACCAAATAATGTAAAAGAACCTCCTCAAAATTAAAAACTGTCAGAACAATATTATATATTACAAATTAAAATTTATAAAAGAGCTCTGTTGTAGAAATAGTGTTTAAATTAAAATTGCCTTCCCAAATATAGACTTTATTGCATGAACTATAAATCATGACACAGTTGATTGTTGTAATGATATAAACACACATAAATCTTTTATGTTTTCTAATAACATAAATGAATGCAGTTTAGAAATAAAAATTGTATTTATTTAAATACATTTTTGTGTTGTGAAATCTCATTTTTATAATATGTACGAGTATAGACCACACTTATGTCTAAATTTTACTTCAGTTTCAGTACAAAGGCATAGGCTTGGGGGGGGGGATGTTGGGGGATCAAATGAATGACCCCTAGTGGAGATAAGAACTCTGCTTGTCAGAAAGAAAAAAGAAATAATGTGTATATATCTATATATATATATATATATATATAGCCCATTTTTGCTAGCTCTTACTCTCATGAAACATTATTTCAAGTAAGCCAAAAACTTATGTTGGCTTATACCTCAATAATCTTTCATATATACTTCGGTTACATCTACTTTTCATTTTACTTGTTATATGGTTTGTCTTACTAATAAAAAGTAGTTTGTATTAAATAAAATTTGCATGTGTGAAGGATATTCTATTATGAAAAATAAACTACCTTTACGTTTTAATTATTTTATATTGTTGTAGTTATCAATAACAAAGAAATTATAAGCAGTATAATTTACATCAGTGTCTACAAATTTGTGACAGTAATGTTAATATTGTTTCTTTTTTGTTTGTTTTTTACAAATTAGTGCATACAATACTAAATACAAATGATATATAGAATACTCAAGGCAAAAATGATATTAACAAAAGATTTTCTATTTAGGGTACTGATATTTTGAATGAACTTCCTGCAGCCAAACCAGCCCACACCCCTGCAGTTATAATTTACTTTAACAAATAAATAAGCTTATTACATCTATTGATTGATCATGTTACAAATACAAAGTCATAGACACACTTATCCAAACTAACATTAAAAAATACCTGGAAGAAGTTAAACAGATAATACAGAAACTTACCCTTAGCCTTTACTAATATTTTCGGGTGCAGTCCTGTGTTACAGTATATACCATTTTTATAAATTATACCACTAATGAGTAACACACTATTAATACTAAGCTTAATCCTCAAATTATCTACTTGTTATTATACTGCAAACAAAAATTTCAATTTGTTTAATTATAACCTCTATTGATGCATATTAAATTGCAATGAATATATCTGTGACTGCAGTAAAGAATAATTATTGGAAAATTAAAATTGTGTCACACTAGAAATTTCTTCATTGTAGATATTATGGATTTTTTAAATGTTGATATTTTGTCCATTGATACAGATCAGATAATTAATTAAAATGGAAAAAAATTTATAAAAATATAGAAAATAGTAAGCTTGATTACAGAAAGTTATTAGAGCCATGAAGGACACATCTTCATCCACAAAAACAAACATTAAAACTAGACTTTTTTGTGCTCATTACAATTTATATATTTACAAAACAAAAGTTCAAAATAATTCAAAGTAACCACATATCACATCAACAGGCAAATCATTTCACACATTTATAACTAACTACGGAAAAGGAGATTTTGGCAAAAATTAAAGCTTCTGGTCTTCCAAAGCATAAACATTATCATTAATGTTATAAGTTTGTATTTTTTTATTCCATTCATAAACAGACCACTCTTAACAATTTAAACTTGAAATGAGTAACCTAAAATATTCCAGTGAAGAGAAAATAAATCCAAAATTATATCCCTTCCTTGCAACTTAAATTTATTGAACCATATACAATTCTTGTAGCAATTTCTACACTCATTCTAACATATTATTATCCTTATTAACTGAAAATAGTGCTCCAAATAAAGTCTCAATGGTCTTATAAAATGTTAAAATAATCTTTTGCTAGGAGATAAAACTTGTATCTTTTCATCATTGACTAATTACGTAAACCTGATGTGTTCTTCAGTGTCTAAGATTGTCTATTTTTTATAATTACAATGTTAGAAATCTTTTGCCTGTTCAGAACAAATTTCTTGTCTGATTTATTTTGTGGTTACTACAAATTAATTAATAAGTTTACTTTTAGAACAATATAGTATTAAAAGTACTGCATGGCCCCAGAAATATATAACTGTGATGAGTTTCACACAATATAAGTAAACATACAAGTTTTACATGAATATAATGTATACATAAAGATCATAGTTATTAATACAGTGGAATAATTAAGTTTTCTGTGTATCCAAAAGAACTTTGTGCAGTGTATGTTACCAATTCATTGTAATTCTGAGTTTAATAGATCTAAACGTATTTGCTGTTTAAAACTAAGATAAAAATATATATATATATATATAGTTTATTCAGCAGTACAATCATTGTAAAGTAGCTTTGCTTGTGATACATATTTTTGAAGATCCTTAAAATAAGTATAAATTGTTTTTATACTTAAATATATATTCATTGTAAATTACTTTTTGACTGCATTAATTTTGTTTTTGTAATCTAATGATTTTGTAATTTTAACCTAATAGGCCTAATATTTTTGATAAAATCATGTTAATTGCAGATGGATTTTTTTCCTCTTAATTTGTCCACTGTGGGCTCAAAATCAGAAGCATGTAAAAATATTCCAATGGACAATTTAAGAGGAATGAGAAAAAAAATATCTGCAGTTAAAGTGGTTTTTATCACAAATCGTAGGCCTATTGGTTTGCAATGCTTTGCTTTTGGTGTGAAAACTGTAAATTTTAATCCAATGTAAATTGTATAAATCAGTTTTGAAAGGATTTTCATATGAATGCTTCTCTAGAACATTACTTTGTTTGTCTTATTGTGATTATTGCTAACATTCTTTTGATACTATCCATAATAGACAAAAAATGAAGCAATAGCTGGGACCCATTCTTAACTTAATAGTTGGTACTCATTTTGTGACTTTTTACAGTTGATGTTTAAAATTCAGTTTGAAATACAATTTTATTTTTGGGCATGAGTGTTATTTTGAATTTTAATAAAGTTATGTCTAGTTAACTTTTTTATCTCAAGGACTCTCATGGAATATCTAATTTTTTAAGAAAAGTTATCCAGTCAACAAACCTGTAGGTGTTTTATTGGTTCAAAAATGTTTCAGTTACAAACATTAATATACATCTTAATAAAATGTACAAGGAGTTAGATTCAACTGAGAAAATACTTTTTCTTTTATCTAAAATTAAAGCATCACCAAAGAATTGGCGGGACCAAAAAGCACATACTTAAATTATACAAATTTAATGTATTTCACTGTTTTGAAAAAAAAGTGAGACATTTATTAATATGACAGCATATTCATATTAGTACAGGAAAGGTTGCTATTAACTTTTTGTATTTAAAAAAGTATAATACAGTAATAATTTTCCAACTGTATTTTGCCCATTCGTTTTGTCATGATTAAGATCTAAGCATAAAACCCAAAACGGTCTCAAAAACAAACAAAAGCTGTAAAAAACCATAAACACAGTTAATAGTTTATTTTAATACAGAGTTGAAAGTGTAATTAATTGTGAAAGGAATTATCGCTTGAACGTAAAATATATTTTAAAAGAATAGTGTCTGGTTCAAGCAGAATTTTATTAACAGAAGAAATATTTATTTGCTTTTTATTTTTAATTACATTGTCACGTGCAATCTTTGATGTTTTAATAATTGAAAAATATAAAATACGAAGTTTAAGTATTTTATAATATCTTTATTCTTCTTTCCTTTATTAAATATAAAAAATGAAACAGACCAGAGTAATATAAGTTATATTAAGGACGTATCTGTCTATCTATCTATATATGCATGAAGTTGTATTATAATCCTAAATGAATATAGTTTCATCAACATGGACTGATAAAGTTTAGTCTGTGAATACATATATTCAAATAGAAGGGCATGTAACTTCAGTTTACAGTGTTAAAACTCTATGGTGTAATTGTTTCGGGGTGCAGTCAAAGTCTTGTTTTTTTCTGTAAACTTAAATCTAAAAACAGAAGTACTTTTTAGCACCATGAATGTGTGTTTTCTTATAAACTGCTAGTCTCGTACTTTCAAAACAAACCACTGTTCTGAACGGAGTTGTTATGCATAATTTTCAACGCAAACATTACATTTATGATTAGATTTTTATCGTATGTATACTTCAATTACTTGCCAGGAACAAATATTTTAAAAAGTTTTGTGCCTAATTATTATACTGAGTTGTCTTCACACTTACAGTTGAATAATGCCATCCGCAACATTAGTTTCATACTTATAGTTGTTACTCAGTGCGTGGTATATTACTGGTAAATCATGTATTTAAAAATTAAGCCAAAAGCTATTTATATTCTTGTACGTTAAGTATTAGTGACCTTGTTTGTAAACAGAGGGCGAATGGGAAGAGCGGAAAAGTACCATGACTTTAGCCGAGTCCCGAGGTCATATCAGTAATATTGATTGCAAACTCAAATTATGTAATTCTGGCAACCACTGATCAGTCATTTTGTCTTTCTTTACATGGAGGCTAGTCGACCCTCTTACATATTATTAATAATTTACAGTAATACATGTATATAAAAAAAAGAGGACACAGTGTGTCGTACGTAACAGAAAGCTCCAAAAAACTCTGTGTGGATAAGCAAAAAACTGCAATCCGCGAAAAGCGAAGATGACAAGGTGGTGTGTGCTTTATTGCTGAATATTGGATTTCAGCTAGTTCGTTTGACTTATGGGTACGTCCTTTTTACAGTCAATGTTCACGAACGATGCTCGTGTTGTACACGTGTAGTTCTCAAGTCCAGGCTGTTAACTTTCTTTTCTTAGTGCTGTTTGGTGACGAAGTTACTACAAGGCCATATTCAATATCTAAAAATATTAGCAGAAGTATAACAACTTAATTTGTATTTTCACAGTCAGTTATTAGGTAGCTAAGTGAAAGCTTTAAGAAAAACGCATATGAAGAAATTAAGTGCAATGTATAGTCTGCACTTCTTACTAATACTATATTAATTGTTGCCAAAATATCCGGACTGGTTGATTAGATTTACTTTTATTTACAATTTTGCCAATTCTTTTATTTAAAAATGTTTAATGGCTTTAAATATAAATTACAGTTTTACGACATAGGAGGTCTTTACTATATACAGTCATTCTAATCAACTCAAATAACAACGCTTGCACAAGTTTCGACCTGTAATGCTGACGTTCACCCTTGAGCACCTCGTTTCATAGTTGCCATAACAACAGCCACTACCAATATCTGTTGTAGGGGAGCGTTGCCATAGCAGTCAGCTGATGTAAGGAGATAGCTATAGGGAAAATGACAAGCTACCCTTGCTCTGAGATCATTAGTCGGATTTAAGGACTACAAAACAGAAAGGAGAATATCCTGCCATAGGAGTTCCTTACGGTTGGTAAGCTTCATGAATGTTTAATTATGAAGTGATAAAACCCCGATCAAAAGTGAAAATTCCACGACTTATAAGGAGAATGCGGGATTAAACATTTCTCTGATTTTATTATTTTAAATGTGCTTTGAATTTGATATGTATTAATTTTTCAGATCTCTTAACACCTTTCCCGTTGTAACTTTAAATGCTGGTCAAAAGCTCTAAGTATAATAATACTTAGTGGTAAGTCTATTTGCAGATTTTTTTCTGGAAATTAACTGCCAAAGTATCATTAAACCAAATATCGTATAGAAAAAAAATCAGCACTAGATAATTACAGGTAGAAAGCCTTGTATACGGACTGAAGTCTTGAATTTTACTGTGTATATATCACCTAGGTATCCCAAGTCTTGGGGAAGGTGTGAGAACAGGTGACTGAATTGCGAATTGCTATATTAGTTTTATGTTTTGGTTTAGAGGCACATCTCTTTGGACCAAATGGCCTTACGTCATCTAGCCATTTCTTGTGCTTAAGTGTTTAAACCTTGTGTTTGATGATATAACTGTGGCGGAATTGTTTTTCTATGAATTCAGTAATTTGATGTGTTTTCACACTACAAATAATACATAAAACTATTAAACTGAATACTGTCTACAGTTGTCTACGCATAGACCACAGTTTTCTTACCCGCTTTTTCATTTACCAAAGCAGTAAAATTATTAGTGTATTTTCTTAGTGCATCTGTATATATTTTCTCCTATGAACATACAACGTTTTAAACAATTAAGGTACGTTTTTTATGCTCAATTTTATATTATCTATGCATAAATGTAAAGTTTTATGGAAAGTAAGCATTATTTTAGGTAGAGTACAAACATTCATATTGTGAGTCTATATTTTTAACTATCAAATAAAAGTTAGTTTTATGACGTAGGATATGTGAAGCAACTACATCTCGGAAGTAATTATTCATTCTGCATTACCATGCAATGAATACTGTAGTTATAAAATAATGATTTATTTTGATAATAATTTTTCTTTTAAAATGCAGGGGAACTAAGTTATTTTTTGTATTAGTTACATGTATTTTGTCTGTTTTATTATTTTTCGACATTTTTGCATTTTTCTCATAAATAATAATTTAATTATTACAAAACTCCATGATGCGTATTAAAAACAAATATATTTTAAATTTATATACTTTACTGATGACAAAATATTTGCATTAAAATTAATTAGTTGTTTGTAATTAAGCACAAAGCTGCACAATGGGCTATCAATGCTCTGCCCACCACGGTTATCGAAATCCGGTTTCTAGCGTTGCAAGTCCACAGACATATACCGCTGTACTACTTGGGGGGGGGGGGGTCTATTAGCTTAAGCAATTAGCATAAACAGTGATGTTTGATACGGCTGTACCGATTGCATAGGGGGGCGAGTTACGTAATTTTTAGTGATATATTCAGTAAACAGGTGTTATATTTAAAGGGTATTGAGATAAGAGATATGAATAAAATTAATACTGAAAATACTAAGAAGTTGCTAGAATCAGAAATTAGATATATTAGCAATCATTTCGTATTTTTATTTATTGTATCATAAAAATTGCCGAGGTAGGGACGATGATAGAAATTGTCATTCGGTGGATCTTTGTATGGCTTAAGACGTGAAAGACGGTTTAATTTTAGTTTTTAGTTACACTGAAAGGTAGTTTGTTGACCACTACACTTTCAAAACAAGTTGATGGCAGAAAACTAGAACATGCTATGTTTTGAGTCTTTAATGTTTTGTAAGAAGTCTTAGCACGTCTTTGCTATGTTGTTATAACTAGAGTGGAGGATGGGCAACGTAAAATTTTCATGACGTATCATTTAATTTGCTGATTTGGCTCTCTCACTATTTTTTATTTTTTGAAACAGCGACCTACATTTTTATGAGCAATGAAGACGTAACGTGGTATTCATAATACTTATAGAAAGGTTCATTATTATTATAAAAAATAGCGTTTTTTTTGTAGTAATGACATACTGAAGGCTGAGACGGCTACGTTATATGGTGGAAGATGAAATAACAAAGTACTAACAGGATTTTTAAACATATATGTATTTAAAAGTGAGTCTATAAAGCAGGAAAGTCTTTGCCCTTTGAAGTAGGCCAAGGTCAAACATTATTTTAAGTACACACATCTGCGTTTGTTATTTAAGGTAACCTGGGAAAAGTTCCAATGTATTCAATAGAGCACTCTTGATGACAACTTGTAGTATCGTAACGTAAAAAAAGAAAAGAAAAATAGAAGGTATATATATATATATATAAGAATCGTAACAACTATTATTAGAAAAAATCCCTCAACCAAAGAAGAAAGCAACAAGCCGATTGGTCAAATTTATCAAACGGAGTTGCATGATGGATGCATAAAATAATAGATTTAATCTCTAGTTCACAAAAGGTACGAGTGTGTCAGTAGTGTTTTGGCGTTGTGCCAAAAACAAAACACACTGACATAGACTACCTAACTGAACAAAGTAATGTTTTAACTAGCACGCATAAAATTTTTTTGTTTGTTTTTTAAGCCATCTGATGTGGGGAGGAAACAGGTTCAAGCAACATGTACTTCGTTTTAACATTTAGAAATGAAAAAATAGTGGTACTCACGGCTATTTTATCACTAGATGTAAAAGGAACATATTAAATTCCACAATTAGACAAATAAACCAGTTATTTTTCACATGGTCTTCACTATTTTTTAATGATGGACTTAGCATGTGTTACCTAAAAGCCAGAAAACAAATATGCTAAGCTTGTTGTATACAAGAATAACCCTATGTATAAACTTAATGTAAATTTCCAAACTCCTATATGTGTGTGTGATTTTTAATACAGCACAAGAAATTACTGAAGTATATAGATGTAACAAAGGCTGGTGCAGTGCTACTTGTGGATATATATATATATATATATATATGATTGTCCTAGTTTGTGTTCTGTGCTGTAAATTATTGCCTTTTAATTCCATCAATATTTTTTATTAGTTTGGTGATCTTTGAACGTATTAGTAGCTTTAATGGTAGCCATACTTCTGGGTTTTTTCCTGACTTGTATGAATGACATTTTTTAGTTTTCATGTGGTTCATGTTAAAGTCTCATGGTACTGTGCTACTTTTAGTTTATAAACTAACCATTAACTGACCACACATACAAAACCCTCTCCTTGATTTGTTCATGTTGTTCTTTCAGTGGTGCAAGTATCTTAATTCACTTACACTTAAGTTTATTATATTTTTAAATTATAGCCAAGGCAGTAATACTGAAACCAAATTCAGTTTGTAAATATTGGTGGATGTTATCACATGTGGTAACAGAATGTGCACAGGCTTGATCCACTGGTCCAACCCTGTATTAGAAAAGAAATATTGACTATAATTCTGATTTACTATGTGTATCTACATGGAGTGTGACAAGCTCTTAGTAAAATGTACACGTCTCTTCTATGCAAAAAATCAAATGAGATATAAGGGTATTTGTACTCAAGATATGTCTGTGCATTGATGACATCAGTGTGACTCTGATAAGTTGTTGTGCAGATGAATAATAAAAATACTTTATCATATAATTTGCATATAGCGTTCTAGAAGCGAAATGCATATCTATTTTTTTGTCAGTATCCCTGTATATTATATCTGACATTTATCTCCTGTAAAACAAACTGTTGCTAAATCAGCAATGTAGAATAAAATTAATAGTTGTTTACCCTGGCATCAAATACATATCATATTAAATGGCACTTTATAAAAGGCCATGGCTTGTGCACTTTGAACCCCACCATGCACATAAGGTTTTAGCCATTATTTGACAAAATTCTGTGAGTGGCCCCATTTATAACTGGTGAACCACTGCATCAATTGTCTCCAAATCTAGCATGTACTTTTAGGGCTCCAAGGGAGTGACTTAAAGGAGGTAGAATTCCAATACAATCTTCCTATATTATTCACAGGCACCCCATGTCTTTTTACATAAGTTGAACAGGTATGTCTTCTGGTAGTTACCATTTGCTCATTTGGCAAAAATATATATTTGTTGGCTAAAAAAAAAAGTATTTTGCAAAAACTTCTGGCACACATTTTCTTTAAAGATAATCTGGATATTTCCTGATTTCCATAACTTTAAATGTTTTATATCACACACAAACCCACCATCTAACCAAAAAGGAAAAAATATAGTACTGGAGAGTGTGCTAGCACTCTCTACATAGAGATGGCATGGATGCTCATATTAAAGCAATACAAAAGTCATCTGGATTTTCTTCTCTACAGGTCATCAGAAGCTAGATATGAAAAGCTACCTGGTATAGTCACTCTATCTCTGGTGCACATGCCACTTTTCAACTATAAAGAACATCCCAAAGTCAAAAACTGGCAAATAGCCAAAACTGAGATTTCTTAGTTTCATTCATCATCATCTTTCTTCAACAGGCCTAGCACCTACCTAGTTCTAGCAGTAACTATAATTTTATCATCATTTGATAGAGCTTAACAGTCTTCACAATTTTTGACTACCTATTTTATTATTATTATTCTATGCAAAATTTAGAAATGAAATCATAATTCTAGTGTAAACAATGTTATTACATCTTGAAATCAGCTTTCTTACAGAGATTCTTTTAAAAAGCTAAAGTACAGGGTGAAACAGGAATTACCAGCCAATAATAGATGAACATTACAGTAGAAAAGACCATAAGATGTGGAAAAATAATGAAAAAAAGTGTTCAAAACTGGTAAAACATGTGTCTATAACAATAACTTTATTATCATTTGCAACACTTCAAGCAGAAGCCCTTCATTGAGCAGTTTAAACTACCTGACAAAGGGCTTCTGCCCGAAACATTGCAAATAATAACAACATTTTTGTTACAAATGTGTGTTTTAACAATTTTGAACATTTTTTTTCATAGATGAACATTAGATGATGGTAACATGTAGAATACTCAATGCTTTGTACACTATACAATCAGTGTCTTTAGGAAGCCAGCTCCTATATTATGTATGAAATGAAGATGTAAAAGAATTGATACACATAGAGGTCATTAGAAGCTAGATATGAAGAGTTAACTGGCATAGTCACTCTATCTCCTGTGTATATGCCACTTTTCAGCTATTCAGAGCATCCCACAGTCAAAAACCAGAAAACAGCCAAAAACCAAGATTTATTATCTTTTGTTCATCATCATCTTTCTTCAACAGGCCTATCACCTACCTAGTTTTAGCAGTAACTATAATTTGATAAAGCAAAACAGCCTTCACAATCTTTGACTACCTATTTTTATTATTAAATGCAAAATTTATAAAGCTTTAAAATACACTTTATAACCTAGTAATCCATGTATGCCATCTTATAAAAATAGCAAACAAAAAAGTATTAGGAAAAACATTTATTGCTAAAAAAAAAGGCTCTGTAGGGCTGGCTACTGAACTTGAAAAAATGGAACCAAACAAGATAGGGATGAAAGTGGACATATCACTTGATCTGTCTTATCATCATGTAGCAGAGTAAGCCATCTCGTCTTTACATGGAGAATAAATTCTCTATATTACTGGCTTCCTCACTGGGAAAACAAATACAACCAGAATTTCCAACCATAAAATGTTACTTAATTGTAAAATGGTCATAAAATTAGTATTCTAAAGTTAACTAAAGGAAAGGTATAATGACGAAAGCTGAGATTCTATTGAAACACCAAACTTTTGATAAGACAAGGTGGAGAAGCCAGTAATTAGATTTTATTCTCCAAGTAAAGTCAAGACAGATTAGTCTGCTATGTGATCTAATACTTGGAATCATTGTAAATGAAAGAGAAACCCCATATTCTCTCAGAATATTACAAAATGTCTAACTTAAACATTTGGTGGTGAAAAGAAAATTAAAATTAGTGGAAAAATAAAACTTTCAAAATTAACGATATCATTTCAAATTATCATTAAATTACTTTTACAATTTCTCATCCAAAAATGAAGATATGTTACATTATATTTTTTAAAAACATTTCCTAATGATAATAGGGCATAATTTACATTTGTTGAGTGTAGGAATGTAATGCAGTGTAAAATTATTTGGCCATGATATACTCAAATATTCAGATTTTGTTTTAATGAAGAACATTAATCAAAACAACTATAAACTGTGCTCTGTACAGTGTTTAAATGATAATAATAACTGGTTCAATCTCTACTCAATGAATTGCCTAAAACATATGTTATCATTACTTACTGGTTAAACGCTTGTATAATGCAATGAGTTGCATTTGAGTTTGTAGCCATTTATATTCCATTTTTCAAGATTATTTAGTTTTACTGGATATTTCTTCATCAAGTGTATGTTAATTAATGAACAGTAATTTCAAGTATAAGTCGAACATGTAAATAGGGTAAACATTAAAACATGACAGTGGTATAATCTAACTTTTTGAAAGAAGTGTATCTGTGTAAAAAAACAAACAGGATATACCATCAATCACAAGCTTATGATGTGTAATGAACTCAGAAATTTAGTTTGGAGAGATGTGGGTGTTCAAGTCTATGATATTTCATATTCAAATTATCATTAATATTCTACACGCAGATGTAAATTAGAATATGTTAAGTATAAACCATTTTGGGTGGTAAGTAAAAAACAACATCAGGAGCTACTGAATTTTGTTTTATTACCATTATAATACCTGCATAAGACTAAGATAACTAGGTCAATATATAGTACTATATGTAAATAACTCCCTCATTCAAATTTATTTCATAGTAATATATTAACCTAGTTATCTAGGGTTGTATTATGCAGTTGATACAGATATATAACTAGAACTTCATTAAAGTTGTACTTATTTATTATTTGCTTTCAGTTTAGTGATTATTATATTTTATTTTTACTTTGTTCTATAGGTGAAACAAGTTTAAATGTGGGACATTGTGGGCTCAAACACTAATCTGTTATATATTACAAATTTACACTACTTTTTACTTGGTTTCATTTGTCTACTACTGTATTTGTGACAATTGTTCATTTATGCCTTGTGTCATGAAATTTAGTCATGAAAGGTATGGAAATACTGGTGTGTTATGCTATTTTCCCTCTAGATGTTTGAACTGAAATAACTGTGTATATAATATACACACAATATTTCTGTGTACATTTTAGTTGTATACTGTTAAATAAGTATATGAAAAATTAAACAACAGTAAGGTTATCATTTTTTTTTTATAAGGGTAACTTTCTTAATACAGTAGTTTTACTTCTTGTGTTTCAGGTTCCGAATTGTTAAGCTAGCTTCTGTTTCAAGGACCAAGCTATCAGTGCAGTATGCTTAGTGGAATTGCAACCTATTTTTTCAAAGGGAAGGAGACTCCAGGATCTAATAAAGATGAAAATACAATTTATGTGATGAAGGAGACAGAAGATGAATGGCTTCTTGTTGATATTAGTGGTAATTTTTATATGTAAAATTATTTAATTACTCAACTTGATAAAATTAATTGCAGTGTTATAATGATATCCTTGTAATGAATTAAAAAAACAATCATGAAATTCTCAAAAGGTGGCTATTTTATATGAAAATATTTTAATAAAAAACTTGTTTAAATTGTTTATCCTTGGAGAATATCAAACTAGTGACAAATATTTAGTTTTTATTTTAATTGTTAATATGGTTTTTGAGATATTTCATATATTTTTGTCTTTTTTTTTCTCAAAATGAGCTCTGAAATTTTAGGCATATAAAATGTTCATAATTTTTAGCAGAATTTGATGCAATGATCAATAATATTTTTAGAATAATTTGTTTTATGCAAGTAAAATTTAGATACCTATGTAAAACAACTAAGTAAATCTTAAAGTTCATATCACACCATTTCATAAATTAATTGAAAGATAGTTTGTTAAAACTTTATAATTGACAGGGTTTCAAGATGTTTGAAGTAAGGATTGAAAAATTCATTAGAAACTTTTTTACTTCATATTTAATATTTTATACATGTATTTTATTCCTTCATTAATGAACTAGCATTTTAATGTTGTCAGATTCTCCTTAGTCTTGCTTTTCATGCAAGCTTACTGAAAGGTTGAGATCTAAAACAAATATTTATCTTCAGTTGTCTCTTTTGATTAACTAGTTTTAGTATGCTTCTTATTCTTTATTCAGCTTTTAGTTTTAGTTTCAATTTTATTGTTTTTTTAACTGTTTCTTTTAAGTGTTTTCACACCATTATTTAAAAAAATTGTTTGTGCTGGCATTGATATTGGCGGAGAGGAGAAGTTTTCTTCCTGAAGTTATCAGTAGTTTTATATTAAATTCTAGTTACCACAGTGATTATTCTTAGAAACAGTCTGAAACATTACTAAAATGATAAGTTATTTTAATAATAATTGTTGAGCTATATGTAGTAGCATAATTAATGACTGGAAAACTATTATTTATTTTTTACTTATAGTATTATGTATGCCTGACTTCAGTTTTGTCAAGTCAGAACACTGTGCTAACAGTTAATTTATATTTAAAGGCAGTCTATAGCCTGAAAAAACAATTTGATCATAAAGAAGTTCCTCGAAATAGTAGTCACGATGACCTATTGAGTGTGTAAATACAATTTATGGTGTTCATCATTATGTATTGATCATTATTATTATTACAAAAACACTTTTTTTTAAAGTTATGTTTGTGTCCACAAAATTCTATGAAATGACTGTTGAAAGGTTTACAAATTCTTTGTTTCCTTTTAAATTGTGAATGGATACTTTCATGGTCAGGAGTTACTCTTTTAGAGATTACAACTTTAAGTTTAAAAGGTCCATAACTTTATTAATTTAGCTTCTTTAAAAGATAATTTCCAATTAAAATGTTTTTATCTTAATGTTTTATTACTATAGTATTATGTAATGTGTCTTAAATAGCAGTTTTCTTTTACACTGATACCCTCCATAATTATCTTTAGGTTCACATTCTGTTATGTAAATACCAACAGACTAATGTGAATTTTTTTTTTAAAACAGAAAAACAACAACATTTATTCAGATATGTTGTTTACAAAACTTATGATAAATTGCAAAGATTCATCAGTTAACATTTTCCTAAACTGAAAATGTATTTCCAATAATACTTACCTCCGTTGACATTAGCTATTTCACACTCTCCAGGGTCTCCACTCTTTGCCCATCTAAGCATTGAGAATGCTTGTTCCAGTCTTTTTATACCCCACTCTAATGCCCTTGGCAATTTTCTTCACCAATTTCAATGCACTCTCTATCCAGGCACTGTATATAAGCACCTCATTCAGATAATATAATCACTTTTTCAAGATATAAACTTGCTTTTAGTGGGGAGGTAGAGCAGAAGAGTGTCAGTGGAGGCAAGTATTATTGGAAATAAATTTTCAGTTTAGAAAAATGGTAACTTCCAAAACATACTTACCTCCGCTGACATTATAGCTAGAATCCCACATTGAGAAGGTGTAGGGGCCAGTGCGGGCATGAACCATACAGAAAGCCTCTGTTTCGAACAGAAGTGTACCAAGAGAAAGATGGTACAAGAGTGGAGGAACTGCACTACATCCAGAACAGGTATGCTTTTCACTAGGAACTCAGTTCATATATCAAATGTGGAATAGAATACAAGTAATCATCAGTATAGGCCACCCCCAACCAGATAGCTGAGGTTCTACAACTCGGGGTTGGAATTAAGGGGTCATGGTACCCATATCCCATGTTGGTGGCTAGGGCTATTGGACAGCAATATTATATATACTTTTGATTGGATCTCAAACTGTAGCCATAGAGTGATGCATTTCATGCCACCAGAATCACGATGAGAAAGTAAGCAACACTGAAGTGGACAAACTTTCTCCTCCACCTGAAGAAGTCCAAAGGGCAACACCCCAGGCTTCGAATGACTGGATCGTGTATGCTATACTCAACCAAAGGAACAGAACTCACCCGGTCTGGAATTATGAACATTCTTCCTCACTCTCCAACCAAGTGGGCAAGGAGTATTCCACTTGCCCCTGGACAGGACGTGAAACCTGTACTCAACTAAGGATCTAAGATGGGACCACATCGTGTTCGGAATTATGAGGAGATAATGGACCTCCTTACATGAACAATATACTAATCCGATATTGTTCAAAGAGAAGGGCTATGTACCCCCCAACAGGATATCTTTGTATCATATCTGAACTGTAATTACGAGTAGGCTCCCTTGGAGGCTGGTGCCACTCCTACTGACATCTGGGAAAAACATCTAGGGACCCAAATAGGAGGGCACCCAACTTCACCCTCTTCTCCAAGAAAGCCCTGAGGAACAGTGCTCTGGAAACTGTGCAATAGGTGAACCAACCCCGATTTATTCAACCTGAAGATCGGCAGGGACAGGCAGGTTCTTTTTTAGCTTTAATCATGATAGTCCATGAGTGGCAGTCCATAATAATCATGTAATACCATCCTGTAGGTGCCTAGATTGTCTTATGGAACACCCCATTTTTAAAAGCAAACCAACCCCAATTTATTCAACCTGAAGATCAGCAGGGACAGGCCAGATCCCCTTTAGCTTTACTCATGATAGTCCATAATAATCATGTAATACCATCTGGTAGGTGCTTAGATAGTCTTATGGAACACCCCATTGACAGAACCTGTTGCAACCTGTAGTAATTATTGTGAAAGTGGTTGCTAGTGTGGAATTGACAAGAGAAAGCATAGCAACATTCACCACAGAGTGGGATCCAGTGAAATAATAAAGGGACCCTGGAGGAAAAGAGTATATTATTGAGGAAAAATACTAACCTTTGGTTTAACAGATGTGGTCAAATTAACTACTGGGGTTAGTCAAAACCCTCAGAAGATGAAACTGCCAGATCATGTAACTAATTAGATGGGAAAGTATTAGGAGTAGTCCGCATACTAGATTGCAAAACTACGAGACGACACTCCCAAAGTAGCGTCAGAAAGGCAAGAAGCCAACGACGATAACGAAAGAAAGTAAACAAGCTGAATCAAATCTTTTTTCAAATGTCTCTGGAACTCTAGCAAATAACATGGGATGGAGAAAGAGAGCTTTCCATAACTCCCTGAGGGCAGAAGACAGTAAAGGAACACCTTCTAACAAAGAATCTATACCCAATAAATCTCAACAAGAAACAAGCCAGGAAACCAGAACAAGAACAGAAGAAGTCAATCTGACTGAGGTAGATGTCAGTAAAATCCACAATTTGTCCTCAAATTGCGGAGAGGAACATTGATAGGCTTCCAACAAAAGTTAGATCGAAAATAAATACCTCACGACAGTCGTGAGAGCAAGACAAATCCAAGAACTGTGATCTGTTTAACATGATCACAAGTTCCAAACGAGACCCGCTCCCCCCCAAAGTCCAAACGGGGGTCCATTCATTGAGAATGTAAATATACCTTCTCTTGGTGGTGATAAACTAAAGTATGCTGTTTTGATAAATGTGGGGGACAAAGCATCGCCATCCTGTCACATGAGTGGCAACCTGAACAGCAATATCAGGAGGAGGAAGAAAAACCCAGTAGTCACTTATTGTCCTTTCTGCCAACAAGGAAGGGGAAGAGTCAAATGCAATAGGAGAGACTCCCAAAACCTCACCAACCCAAGTAACCAACTGAAGAAAAAGGGGGTGGAGGTGGTTGATGAAAAAGATCCTCTGTTGAAGCCGACCTAGTAAAAGAAGAAGAAAAAGAGTCTAAATTCTCCCCAGATGGTTCATGTCGTTTGGAAAAGCTGCCTCGGAACTCCCCAGAGAGAAACCCGTGGTCCACATGTGAGTCCATCTTGCGACTGATCATATCACGGACAGCCTCGACTGAAAATGAACCCTCCTCTGGCCATTGACAAACGTCTGATAACTGGTATTATAATTAAAGTAATTTATAAATATACGAAGCTACAACAGTAGTAATGCAAACCGCGTTTAATGTTGCAATGTAAGTTGTGTATAATTACAGCACTCCTGTTTATAGAAACCCGTGCCAAATGCTTTGTTGAGAAAAAATTATTACATTACCTGAATGAGGTGCTTATATACAGTGCCTGGATAGAGGGCACATTGAAGTTGGTGGAGAATTTGCCAAGGGCATTAGAGTGGGTGTAAAAAGACTGGAGCAAGTGTTCTCAATGCTTAGATGGGAAAAAAGAGTGTAAACTCTGGAGAGCGAGAACTAGCTACAATGTCAGCGGAGGCAAGTATGTTTTGGAATCATACCTTCCAACTTTTGAAAACATCCAAAGAGGATTTTTATGAGACATTTTTTTTTATATAAAAGCAAATACAGTAGACATGTAAATATATATATATCAATTTATTTAATACATATGACAGCATTGACATCAATAAAGTTAAGCACAAAAACCAAAAAATAAAATAAATAGCTACTCTTCTTACTTGAAAAGCTACTATTAACACCTGTAAACAATGCACATACAGATTTTTTAATTTTTCTGCCCATCACAAAGTACAAGCCTATATTTGCTAAGAAACTATCATTCCTGGAAATGTAATGATTCGTGTCAATTTCTTTTTGGTCAGTGGTTTTATTACTATAACTCTTGGTTGTTACTTTTTAATGATGTTAAAGCATGTGGTCTGAACAATTACTAATGCAGCTACTAGTTTAAAACAATTTTATAAAAGAGACTCAGTTTGAGCAGTAATGTGGTTTCTTGAGATACTGTCTAACTGGAACGTTTATAATGGTGAACAAAGGATTATAATGTGAAGTTCACAACACAGAGATAGCAATTTATTATGCTTTCTTTAGACATTCTTTTGGTTCCTGTAAATGTTTTAGTGTCAAATTATATCAATTTGAAAGCTACCAAAATGTTCTTATTTGACAAGAAATTGGGTATTAGTTTAGCAAGTTTGGTAAATGAGACAGCAAAATATTCCAGTGACTCATGGAGTTAGGAAAAGTGTGATAACAATAAATTTCACTGATTTGGAAAAATGACAGATATTTTAACACTCCAATTCAGGATTGCAGGAAAAGGCAATAACTTAGAAATTTCTTGACCACTTTGAGAAAGTTGGCAGGTATATGGTAAAGCAAGTAGTATTAAAGAACTCAGTTTGAAAATGCTTCTTCCTCTTTCTTAATCTGATAGTTAAATTCTTAATACAGATCTAGTCTGCAGCTATTATTGATACCATTATTTAGTGTATTCAGTTTACATGATTTCATATTTTTATGCTTTGTTCAGATTATCTCCTTCGCGTATACTAAAACACAACTTCCTTCTTTTTCTTCATAGCTTCTGTTATTTTGAAATACAATGTATACCTTACACCACTTGTCTTTTGTGATGAAACCTACATACAGCTGGAAATTATGTGCATCATTATAGTTTGATAGCATCCTGTATAGACATTTTGTGTATGTTTCATATGAGCATTAGAATTAGATTTTTTAAAATTTCATTGGACTACCATGTTGTTTCTTTGTCTTATCAAAAATGCAGTTAAATGCTTCACAAAACTGAGGTACAAATAACTTAATTAACTCAATATGTATTTGAGTAATAAGATATGTACACCGATAAGCTGTTTAGATCATGAAGTACTTTATACACATACACACACACATACTGTTATTATGAAATCATCCTTAGAAAAAATAAGATAAAAGAGCTTTCATATAGCTACTACTTAATGTCTTCCTAAAATGTCACTGTGTAGATAGTGATCCTTCTCAAGCTCAATTTTTCTTGTAGCAGAATGTAACTTGTACATTTTATGGTTCTGAACCTATGCATTATTTCAAATATTTTTCAACTTCCAGTGATGGTAACTGAGAAAACATAGCTAAAGTAAATCCTACCGTACCTGCCAATGAATAAAATTAAAACTTCTCCAGGAAGATTTTCAAATTTCAAGATGTGTACCTGGATAGCAACATAATTTTTTACATACATATGTATAGCAGCAAAATAATTGAATAAATTGTCACATATCTTCTTTGCATAATTATGATATATTTTCAACAACAACAACAAACTACATGAACATTGTAAAAATAAACTGTTTTACCAAGTTATTATAAGTGTTTATATAACCATTGCCTTTATTGTACTGGTACTTAGAACCTGAAGAAAATCTATCCAAGCATCAACTGGATATTAAATATCACTCCAGCTCAAAAAATAGAAGCACAGCATGGAAACATCAAAGCTCCAAAGCTGGTGCTACTGGTCTACTTTCTGTCGAACTGCCAGAGAAAATAGAATCACTAACAACCACACCAGCCAGTCCAGTTAGCCCTACCCAGATGGAAGGAAGTTGGTATATTACACCACCTCCTTGCTTTACTGCTGGGGGACCTGTTCACGTTGAGATATCTCCTTTGGAAAACCTTCTGATTGAACACCCCAGTATGAGTGTTTATGGATCAGCACGTCCACAGGTTTTGTCCACTCAAAACAGAGAAGTAAACACTATCCAAATACTAGATGCAAGAAATGCTGAGAATTCAGTATTGAATATTGAGAAAGTTGAGCCACTACAAACAGCAGCAACCACAACTGCTACAATTATTAACTTGAAAACTAATAGTCGTAGGGGTAGGACTCTTGCAAGCACAAGAACACGACAAGAAACTTCTGCTCTAACTTCAAGAACAGGTAATTATTCAAATGCAATCACTGTAAGTTTTGTAATAATATTATAACTAAAACTGTTAGTATAATTAAACATTTATTTAAACCAGACTTTTTGCCTGAAGAAATTTTTAGATACAGTGTAATCAAAAAGGTATTTGAAATTGAAATTCTTTATATATGTATATAATGTGTAGATATATAAAAAAAACGAATTCATTGAAGAACTGTTAGCTATGGATTTTGTAATTTCTTAAAGAACAGAAAACAAATACAGAACAGCATTTTTACAAATGTATATACTGTGTTGCTTCTCATGTACACTGATTTCCAACAGGTAAGAAAAGTACCCACTCTGATTATAGGTTAAGCAGAAAATGTATTGTAGAGTTATATGTAAACTGAATTTGGGAAAGAGAATGGACACAAGTTCCACAGTAAAACAAAAACAGTATATTTAATTGGCACATAAGATAGAAAAAAACAACAAAACTCAGTCAGTGAATGTGTTCTAGAAGTAAAAGATAATTATTTTCTTTTTATGCCAAGAGAAATCAGGATAAGAGTCTGATTAAAATTGAGAGATTCCACCACTAAATATGTATTAGAACAGGGCAAATCTCCCAGATTACATTTATCAACCACATTACCTAGTCAACCCTTTAACAAAAATAGAGAAATTAGTCTTCAGGTATTTCTAAATCTATACATGACTGGTATTACTAGAGAACAAATTGGTAAAATCCTAAGGATTTCTCCAAGAGCACTTTCCATGGAAAAGTCCAGAAACATAAAAAAGGAATTTGAATCTTGACAATGTGTGCCTAGAACAGGAATATGGTCTGCATTACAAAGCCAGTTCTCATTCAGTAAGAGCAAAAAACTTTTATAGTTTTATGAACATGGTCACCTTTCTAAATCAAAAGGAAAGAAACACCTGGTACATTTTACATAACCCAACAAGAATTCAAAAGATGCCCTAACCAACTCACCTGCTTTTGTTTTATTGGTCCTGTGAGAATAGTATGTGGTTGGAGCAGTCATATTGTTTAATTTCTTGCTGTCATAACTTTTACTTTGTTAGTAAATTTGAAACATTGATATCAAAAGTTCTAATTTAGTTTAAAAATAAACTGTCTTGAATAATGTTAAAATTATTTAAAATTTTCAGATATACTCGAGCACATTGAAAATGTGCGGCCAGCCCAACAAGCCTGGAAGCGACGTGAGCAGAAGCAACTGCACAAGTCTCATCTTGATCGCCAGAATCGTACTTGCCATGTACAAGCTAGTGTTAGAAAAACTCGCAGGAAGGAACGCCTTATGCAACCCCCTGGAGCTAATAACAGTTGGAAATGTTGATGTATTATGCTGGTTAATAACCCAAATGTTAGTTTTGTTTTGTTTTGCCTTACAATTACATAGTCTTATAAACATATTTGCATAGAATCCAGGGAAAGGGGGAGAACAGCATAATATGTTCCAGCTCATTTTAATTCTTCCATATAATAGTCTCAGGTTTTACAGATACCCGTCCGATGAAATCACGTTAGTATATGTTAAACAGTGAAGGCTATAGTTAATGAGATATAAAGTGATATAGTTTTAAGTTGTTAATTCAAGTTATTTATGCTTATTGTCTTGCAAATATCCAATAAATAAATTGTAAGATTTGCAAATAAATTTTATCTATTTTAACTTGTACATTTAGTTCAAATTCTAGATAATTATTTGTATCTGTATGATAAAAGATGATGTTTGATTTTTGTGAATGAAACCTAAGTCTGAAAGAGATAGTGTCAGATGCTTCTTATTATAAATATTTTTTTGGTATTTGAAAACTTTTAAGTTACAGATGTGATTTGTATGTTATATTGTAAGCTTTAAAAAAGACTGAAACACTTAAATTTAATATGCAGAATGTCTATGTGCAAATCATAATTTGTAACATAAGTTTCTATTTCTTATCCATTAATTTTAAACACAAAAGTTTTGTTCATTTTAAGTTAGGATTTTATGAAAAAAGTGTGAAACTTTCACAAGATAAATTCCTCCATATGTTTTTCAATAAAAAATCTAAAAGTATATGTAGTGGTATATATTCCACCTCACACTGCCAAAACTTGCAATATATATATATATATATATATATGTAAGTAGTAAAATAGGATATATCAACCTATCTTATATATACACCCACACTTGTTATGAGATGTTACATATGACAGTATGGGTGTATATCTATAAATACATCATTACGGATGTCCTTCAGCAAGATTTATAAGAAAAATGTTATCTATGTCATTGAAATATTTTGATTCTTACAGTACCATAAAAAATTTGAATATCTCTAAAAGTTTAATTCTGATAGTAACTAAGAAAAACACTTTTTATTTCATGTATGACATATTTAAATAAATAAAATTTCAGCATTTACCTTTTAATGACAAAAGGTACAAGTCAAAATAACTTTTTATGGAAAATATTTTGCATTTTTTAATATCAAGACTTACTGCGTATTTAAGAGAACATGTCAGAATTTACTGTGTTTACATATTAAAGCGGATTGAATTTTTAAGGGTAAAAATATACATTTTCCTATGTTTTTGCTTAAAAATGTGTTTCAAAAATTTCATTTTTATACAAAAAAGTTGCAGATTAATGTAAAGCAATAATCTCTGCATTGCAAAGAAGATCATGATAAGACCTCCCTCACAAAGAAAGTTAAGTGATGATAGTATGGCTATAATCTTACATAGTGAATTTCATTAACCATTCTTAATTATTGTTCCTAATAGCTTATATAATGTTTTTACATGGATATTCTAACAGTCTCTTCAAATAACTTTAGAACATAAAAACATGTTTTATAATCATTGATATATATATTTATTTGATATATCTTATGAAATTCAATTCTAAATTTTGAATTCACAATATACTTTCGCTGTGGGTCTTTTAATTTTTAAATGAATAGATAATATGAAAAAATTAATATTCTATAAAGCTCAAAAAAGTAAATAATATAGAGAGCAAAAATCCTATTTCTAACACTGAATGGAATATTTTGTACATATAGTATAAGTTTTGAGCAATCATTCATATATATATATTATCATTTTATGAAATTAATGTTTCTGGTTGCTTAATACAATACCTGAATTTGTTTTTAGTATTTGTAATCAGCTTACTACTTTCTATAGAAGTCAAGTTTTCTTAATTGATTGAATTCTTTGTAGACTTTGTTTTCTAAAAAAAGTGATTTTTCATAAATACAAAATTTAAAAGTGAATAAATAGTTTTAGTAACAAAAAATACCTGAACAAATCCTTGAGAGAGAAAAACAACCTTTGTTCATGATTAGGATTTCCTCATCCTCAAAGTGACTTTCTGAAAAATTAATATACATCTTTAAGTTTTATAAAAGTATTTAAAATAGTTATCCTGAATATTCTAATAAAAAGAAGAAAATTTATTGGGAATGAATATTTACAAGATAAATTAAATTCTTAGTAGAGCTGGTTGATTTGTGGAACTTGATTATTATTTAATTGTTGGGCTCATTAACTGAATACATTCAACAAACTGATTATTTTCATATCATGCTTGGATAGTTGGAATAACCAAAATTAGTAAGAACCAGAAACATTAATTTTGATTAGATGATTATGTTTGTGAGTCATGACACTAATTGATTAATGAATAAACTGAATAACCTTATCAAAATTAATAATGAGAAATAATAATGGTAATATTTAGATTACTTGGGTAGTTGGAATAATCAAAAATAATCAGAAACACTAATTTTCATGATATTAACCAATTTAATCATAATTTTCCTTAATCAGTTATTTTACATGACGGTAATCAATGCTCATAGGTAATCGATTAAATGAATTAATCACCCAGCTGTAGTTTTATGTAGGATGATATTATTTTGTACATAAAAATGTAAACAAAGAAATATTATACACTGGATTTACATTCCAGTTTTTAATACTTTGTTAGAAAAAAAGTTGCACTAATAAACTTAGGTAAGTAGGTAGAAAATGACAACCATATAGCCAAAAGACTCACAAAACATTCAATGGATTTACAAATAGCATGAAGTTAGAACAGTCATCAGAAATCACAACACAATATGATCTCAGTTAGTGCACATGCACCAAACCACAGTACTAAGTATAGTATATCCCCTGTGATTGTGAAGTTCATTACACTGGAGAAACAAACATATTGACAAAAGTCAGCATTTAGGAGCATAATAGATATATAGTTAAGGTAATACTGATTATTTTGCAATAGGTCATCATGTCAATGAAGAACACATAATATAAAGTGAAATAACACTGAAATAATGGGATATAAAAATATTACAACAAAAGAAGCCTTGTATGTCCAACTAACTAATGATACACCCAGCTGTCTTAGTACAGATTAAGCCAGCAAAACCTAAATATTGCCTTTTGAAAACATTCAAACAAGTTACAATGAAATCCTAAATGGGGTGAGAACCAAAACAAATGGTTACACACCTGCCTTTCTAACAAGAAGATCCAGGTTTAAATTATTCACGGCTTTTGCCACCACATTCACCTTTCTCAGGTCTCTCCTGAAGATGGAAAAACAGAGTAATACTTACATTTAGGTGACTTTATGTAGGCTACTTATCAATATACCAAACTACTTTTAGTATTGAATTTTGAACAACACATTACTTTAGATTTGGTGGATCAGCTAGAAGGATGCAACTCAAAATGTTTAATTATAGCAGTCCAGTTGTTTTGTAGAATATTATTTTTATTTATTGCATAAACATAACTAGAAAGGAAATTTGGTTTTAATATTACATATACCTAGTTCTAGATGCTAACCATTTTTAATGATTGTTTTTTTTCATAATTTCTCTGATTTTAGTACATTAAACTATTTCTGCAACTACAGACAGAATTAGGCACAAATAACACATTTCAATGAAGCCTGTCATTCTTCTAATTAGTAAAAGAGAAAAGAAATGTTGCTGTTTCACCTGTGTGATTTAAAAGGAAACTTACTCAATTCAAACATAATATTGCAGGCAAAAGACCTTACAATACACTTAATATGTACCATAATTAAAGAACAATAAGAAGTTATATTTCTTCTTATCTGTGTTTCTAACAATAGCTTCTAAAGTAGGGAATATGTTGATTTCACTTATGAGCCTGGCACTGAGAAGTACACTTGGATGGCATGAGATTGATCTACAGGATATTTAAGGTCTACCATAAAAAAAACAGGCAACCAAAACTTGATAATCATATCTTTTATGTTGGTTTTCTGTTCGTTGAATGCAAAGTTGGCTTTACATCAAGTTCTAGTCAAAAAACAAAACATCAAAAAATAAATATGATAATATGGATAACTAACTATGTTTACTCTTATTAATCCAGATTTATGTCAGATTTGTACTTTTTTTTTATATGTATGAGGCTGCATAAACTATATTAAACTACAATGCTTTTACATCCTGTTTGCTAATTTCTAGCATGGTCATATTTGAGATACTAGGAAACAATCTGAAAAGATAAGCCATAGGCTAAGTTTGAGAGTGCATGTGAGCTTATAATTCTTTAGGGGGGGGGGCTAAAATTATGTTGCTACCAATACTTTTTTATTGATGACAGAATTTGTTTGTTTTTGAGCAAAGCCACATTGGACTATCTGCTATATCCACCTTGGGGAATTGAACCCCTGATTTTAGCTTTGTAAGTCTGTTAAATTACCTCTGTTCCACTGGGGGACTAGTGATGACAGCACAACAGATCTCTTTTAAGTCCTCAGTCCTTATAATTTTTGATTTGACAAAATATACCAGTTTTGATGGCCATATTAGCATACTAGAAATGTTGAAACTGACAAATATCCACCATTTTAGTAGCATGTTTACACAAAGCATTTACAAGCCTTTCCTTTTTTAACACAGAAAACTTGTATAACTATAATGAAAAAATACAAACTCTCAATTATTTCTTTAGAAAAAGTATAATAACAGTACATACCATAATTTTAACCAGAAATTAATCAGCTATAGGTATTTCTTGACACGATCTGAAAAATTATAAGATTTGATCATTAACATTTGCTTTGCGTAAACAATTGAAGAAAGTACAGAAATATATTTAAAACAGTCAATAAGTGATAAATAGCTATAATCTATCCAAATTTTTATGATGTGTGTTTTCATATGTGACTATTTTGTAAGTCTGTTAGCTTTAAGATCCTCAATTTGAATGTATAATAAATAGTCCCAAGAATATTTACTTCCAAATATATTACAAAAGCTTTGCTCATGCAGTGTACAGTGTAATTCATTTAAATGTCCCTCATGTAATTGTTTACTCTTTGCATCCAGTTTTTCAAATAGTTTGCTGATAAATAATTACTATTGTGGTCAAATACTCAGAATACTATAATGAACTAAGACTACTATTTAGCAATATAACGAGATGTTAAGTTATTGGTTCAGAGTGTGTAATGGTAGCTAACAGATTACATACATACAATATTCATTCAGGCAGCAAAGCTTTTAAAACATTAGTAAATTAGTATCAGTGTTCTATAAAACAAAGGTACCATTGGTTACAGCATATCTATATCTTATTTGTAACAGCTATACTCACAAAAATAACCTGAGATTAGAACAATTAGAAATACAATGTGAACCAGGGGATCCCATTGCAACTTTCATGTAAATTGGTCAAATAGCATTTCTGAATTTATAAAATGTATTAAGATGGTTTCATATACAAACAAATACACTAATAAACATAAATTAGTACATATGTTAGGTGTGAAGGCTATTATATACACTATCTTAAACTGGAAGAACAAAAAAAAAAAAAAATTAATATATATTACTAGGTTATTTGTATTTCATAATGGTGGTGGGTAAAAGGGTTGAATATCTGTGTAGTTAGATAGTTCATAGGATTTTTCTAGTTGTTTTTGAGCTAAGAAAATATAAATTTTCTCTTCTTATGTGTAATACACTAGCATGCATTAAAAAATACATAAATATAAAAAAATGCATATGTTTTAGAAACTTTACATCTAATTTTTCAATGCTCATGTATTTAAAAAGGAATAATTAGATTATCTTGTAAACAAATTTGTCAAACAATGTGAATATAAAATTGTGTGTAATGATTATTGTATTTTAAATTAACAAACTTATGTTTGTGTATGTTTCAAGAAAAATAGTGCACATATCCTTTCAAAATATTTTTTTTGTATAAGTTGGATGAATGTTTAAGTTGGTTTTAGTTTATATAAATGTAAATTTGTTTATTATAGTTGAAATATAAGGTTAATATTGGTATTTTATTTAAAACTTCATAAAGTCCAAAATAACCAATGTAAAGTTGATTATATTTGGTGTTTTATTCTATTGTAAGGAAATAGTTCAGTTTGTTTTTCTTCAAAATATAATGCAAAAAAGTTATAAATAAATATTTGTCTTTGTTGAAACTGTTTCCAGTGTTGCAATAGGCTACTCCAAAGTACAACTACAAACAAATCTAATATTTATTATTAAATTCTCTCTCTCTCTCACACACACACACACACTATTTCCCTATCATCATTATAAAATGAAATTAATTAATATAAAAGAAATTAATTAAACATTTTAATACCTATTATTTTAATTAAGTCACACAAATCAATTTAAAGATAAATGAGAAAAAAAGAAGCTCTAATTTTAAGCTGTTTGTTCATTAGACAAGTTTATATTATTACATCATAGTTTAGTTTCTGTTTTCTACATTTTGTACTATAGCTAGATGATTCTGTTGACGGTTTACTTAATTGATCAAAATGGTTAGAAGTAAACATAAAATTAATACATGGAATTTGAAGTCCATGGTAAATATCAATAGTGGGTTATGTTTGAAGAGAATGGTTAAGCTATAGCTTCCAAAAATCTTCAGAAAAATGGAAAGTCTTAATAGTAAGGTGGAGTTTGATTAAGAGAACCTTTTGAAGTTGAGAGTGTAAGAAAAAGAGAATAACATAATAAATATTAAATGGGTTATTTGATTATGGTGTGAAGATTTTAGGGCTAATAAAGCAAGTTTATGTCATACAGTTAGTTGCAGGCAATAATATCAAATATTTTGAAGGTTTAAGCATTGAAAAGGAAAGGATTTGGTATCAGGTTAATCACTGATTAGGTTTAAGTGAAAAGTTTATAACTGATAAACCCTAGAAATAAACTAGGATCGGAATTAGCTTCTCATATACTAGTGCGGTATTTAGGTTCACTAATGTTTAGCTAGGTAAGTATCAAACTCCACAATAAACAGTAGATTCAGGAAATGTTTTGCGCAAAATGAATAGGATACAGGGTGTGTAACATAAATAACTCAGAGACATATTTGAAACAAAGAATAATGATAATCTTTATTCAACAATGAAACATACAGTGTCGTACTGTATAGTTGTATAGTACTAGTTGGCTTCAATTTGTTTGTAGACAAATTGGCTGCTACAGCAGAAAGGAGTTAACTCCTTCTCTCAAAGGACATTAATGAAGTGTTTCACACTCACAAAAAACAATATTGCTATGACAGAGGAAGTCACGTGACACTGCTGGCGTGTTTGGCACTGATAGCACGCGTGAAATATTTCAAATTATTGGGGAGGCCCGAGTGTATTCGAGATGCCCCCTTCTTTAGTATATAAGCCTGGCAGAGGAAGCCAGCCGGATAGATAGATGATGAATGTATAATAGTTAAGCGAATAGTAGTTACGTTTTTTTGGATAATAATAAAGTGTGTGTTTTGTACTTGTCGAGAGAAATGTTATCGAGATTGTGAATCGCTGTGATTTACAGCATGTATTATAAAAGTTGTTAAGTTTAAAGTGATGAAAAACATACTGACTGTGGAATTACTGTGTAGAGCAAAGTTTGTATCGAGAAAGAATAAACTGGTTTAATCAAGAAAGGACT